AGCAATGATCTCAAATGTAGACTTGCCTCATGCGATTTGTTTGGACCCAAGGACTGTCATAATTGCTCTTCAGCGCATCCAAGCAGTTTGTGTTCCAGTCGCATTGCTTAATTCTATCTTTAGAATTCGACGCGCATATACTCATGGAATGCGCATGTGCGCCGCTTTTGTGAAGTTGCTGAACCATGCCAATCGTCGGCAACGGAATGTGAGGTATGCGCTGGGGCTTGCATATTGTTTGTAAATGCATTACATCTAATTTGGAAGCTGCACATACAAATTTGCTCAAAACGGCTGCTTCAGCGTGTGCCGCCAACTGCTCTCACATGCGCTATGTTTCATCTGTGTTGTGCAATAAAAATGAGCGGGATACACTTACCAAAACATGCAACCCGTTTCAGACAGAGGAGACGGATTCCAGTTCCAAACGGTTGAAATTATCGCTGTCCGCTCCAGACGATGTTTGCAATGGTACAGCCACAGGTTACATCTGCCCGTTATGCGAAAAATCACGACCGGATGAGGAAATGAGAGATTCTTGGAGGAATCGGCAGCAAAATCCAATTTTGTTGTCATGTCTACTAATTGAAAATTCTATTGGAGTAAAAAAGGCTCGCAAAGTTTATCTGGAAACTTTGCTTCGAAAGAAACGTCTCTGCAAAGCCCACTACACTCATGCCGTAGGTTTTGAAAAGTGTGTCGCTTATTTTATATAATTTGTGATCAGCCTTTCAGGGCATACTCATCGGAAATGCAATAAAACAAGCAACTGGCAAGTTTCCTATTCTTGGCTTAGACTGCGTTTCTGCAGAAGTTTGGCATAGTTACTTTGTAAAGATTGTCGCTTTTGGTGCTATGATTGACGTAAGTTGAGGTTGAGATGCTAGAAGAGTTTGTGAAATCAGCACTCATGTATGCTTTTCAGAAAGAGCTCGTGATTCAACTATCAGATGTGATTAATTTCTTTGCTGATTGCTTAGTAATGTTTCATTATAGTGGTGACTGGGAAGTAAGTTTACTTCTTTTGGATCTTCATCTTGAGTTCCTTGGTTGTTTTCTTATGTTAGATCACTGTTAAACTTATAAGGAAAAGGCCCTTAAACAAGAAATTCCTTACTTATCAGATGTAGCATTCGTGAGAGGGGAAGCCGATGCTTGGCAGCATCTTTTCAATCTTTTTCTTGAAATCATGAATTATAAGCAACTGGCGTTATAGAGGGTTATATGGAACACAACGAACATGTTCTTTTTCGCTCTTCGCATAGATTGTCTTTTTTCATTTCAAACTCTTAAAGTTTCCACCTGCTACTTTAAAGCTAGCATTGTTTCAATGTATTCTTACAGACATTGATCGAATCAAATGATTCTGAAAGTCAACTGAACTTATCTACAGTAGCACTCACTCCAGCTCTTTGGGAGGATAAAACGACGACCGAATCTTTTGAAGTACCTAACGATTCTTCGAATTTTCCTTCGGAAGTTATCTTAGCAGATTCTTCGGGTATGCTGTTCATCTGATCTGCTTGAAGGTCTTCCAAACTACCATAATCTACAGGCATATGCGAGCCGAGTCGAGAGGAGATGGAAAAGAGCGGGGACGAAGAACTTTGGTAGATGTTTTTTCTTCTTTATGTTTCATATCGTTTCCGGAAATGTGAAATTCTAGTTACTCGCATAAAATGCCAACTCAGAAATCTTGGAATTGTGGCATTTGCAATATGCGATGCTCAGAGTCGGACCTCAGTGCTTCATCTCGTAATGATGTCCTTATGATATTAAGTTGTTTTGTCATAAACGAGTTGATGGACACGCAACTTGCGAAAAATGCATATCTGAGAATCACTAGTGGGAAGAACGTGATGATTTGCAAGGGACACTACGTACAAGCAGTAAGGTTTACTTCATATTTCGTTTCCTCTCTTATTCTTTCTTTTGCTTCTTTGAGCGGTCATTCGTATGCCTATTGTATTCCTTCTCTCGTCTTCTTCTTTCTTTTTATTAGTCTTTTTCAGCTCAATTGTATCAGATTTTTCAAAGAGATTCTTTGTAGTTCACATCATAGTCTGCTAGTAGTCATTGTCTCCTCCCCTTAACTATACCTAACCATGCAGTACTTTTACAGACTGACTTATTTAGGCGGCTACTATTGAAAAGGAAATGAAACGATTCTTACAAGCTCATTCACCAGAGAGGACTGATCTTTCCACTTTACCAAGATCGATCTGGAGCGATTTAGTAATTAGAATTCAGGCATATGGATTTGGTATAGATGTAAGCTCGAATCAATATCTATATCTGTCAAATTTTAAAATTAGTCCTTTCTGCAGAATTGGATATTTTTGAAAGGTAATCATTTGGAGAAGTTCTATTACAACTGCCTCTCAATATCATTGCTTAAATCTGCGACGAAATCGCAGTTGAAGCAAGAGTCAGAAGTCAGTGCAGCCTTGAGTTTGTTTGATCCAACTGAGTTTTTTCTTTATCGACCATAAATTATAGGACTGCAATTTACTGTTTTGCGATGCAACAACCGAGCCGATTTCGACTGCAAGCTTGAAGGAATGCTCTGCTAACAAGTCTGGTGATTTTTTTGTAATTAGTGTAGATGCGCATAAAGCTTAATCTCATGCCACAAAAGATTTCAGGTCAAAACTCTTCAAGGGTCTGTTGTATAAGCGAGAGCAATGAAGAAAGGTACATTTATGGTCATTTGATTACGTTTCCTTTATGAAGATTTTGAATCTGTCAGGTTTGATGAAAGTTTGAGAGTTCCCCTTTAGATATTTTAAATCAAGAGTTTGCCGAACTGTTAGGAACTTTTAGGAAGTCGCGTAGAACAACGTCTTTCCAGTGAAAATCGTTTTCAGCAATGCTGACAAATTGGAAAACATTGGTTACCAGGAAGATAACCATTCAAGAAACCGCTCATGTAACCTTTGCGGTCTTATTCGCGACGAGGATGAAAGTCGTGTGGGTTCAACAAATCCTCGGCAAAATCTGATACTGATCTCATCTCTTGTCGCAAGCGGAATTACTGATGCTGAATCCGGCAAAGACATCTTCAAACGGGTACTCTGCAAACGCAAACGAATCTGCAAGCAGCATTATGTTGAAGCGGTTGGTGTCTTTAAGATCGTTCTTCTAATTTGGGACATGCTTGTGACAGGCACCATAGAACCTTTCTCCATCTCACATTATTTTAACTGGTCACAAATCATCTTTCATGTTTGGAATCCCGCAGTGGTTGTAATATAGGCTCGCTGGATTGGCGAGCAAGTCGAGAAGAATTGGGGAAGATTTCCTATTCACGGGCTGTTTGGCATCCCTCGCGAAATGCTCTCAGCAGTGCTTGAGCGAATCCAGGAGTATGTTAAAACATTTAGTGTAAGTGAGAGCTATCAAAGGTACATCTATCAAAGCTTGTGAAGGTTTTTTTCCCCAGGAAGAAGAAGATTTGACCGCCGAAGAATTGGCTCGATTTTATGGAGATTGTCTTGCGAAGTACCGGCACATGAATGGATGGAAAGATAGAGCTGTGCAAAGCAAAAAAGAGACAGTTGAGGTTGGCATATGCTCAGTTCTAATGTATTATTATCTTGTTATGATATCTTCAGGCGTCATATGTAGCTCTTCAAAATTTGCTGTGCGAGACAAAGTCAACTGAATCCCCAAGTAAGATTTCAATAATTTTTCCAAATTCTTGCCACATTCTTAGGTAAA